GAGATATATTTTTGGTTTTTGAGTTATTTTAAGTCATTTTTGTTTTTGTCAAACATTTTTTAACTTATTTTAAGTCATTTTTTATATTTGTTAAATACTTTTACAAGTCACAAAATAACTTGAAAATAAATTTTACCAACTTTTAAGTCAATTGAAATCGGCTATGCGTGTAGCGTGTATAGTGATTCAGTGGCTGACAACAAAGAAAATGGGCAGCAAAGTTTTGAGGGGTAGGGACATAAATATCTTGTGGAGTAGAAGATATTTTGAACAAGGGCCTCATATTATATCCAATGGCTAACAACCATTTGATTTTATTTTCATTTAAATTGTCAAATTTGATTTTAATTGTACACGTGGCGCAATTCCCTGTGAGATTTAAATCTCCTTGTAAGATATACTATATTCTTCTATATATCTTTCACATGGGACCCACCGTTTCAATGGACATCATCATGGCAACATTCATGTCATGCATACATATTAACGTTTCGACTTTTCATTGGTCAACCGGCTAATTGTTGAAATTAATTTTTCTTCTTCATTTTTTGGGTTAAATATTTTTTTATATGCGTCAAGGATCGCTTGGTTTAGATACAAATTATATTCGGATAAATTAGGCTAGAATTAATTACGTTGATTGTTTGGTTTGTCATATTCAAACTTATATTCATTGGATAATTTTTAAGAATAAGTTGTTTGTGTTACAAATAAATCCCTCCACCTTAATTAGTGTTTTTCTTTTTTTTACATTTTCTTTACAAGTTTTAGTTATTCATTTTTAAATATAAAATTTTCATCTTATTAAGCTTAAATATTTTTGTATTTTCTTTGCAAGCTTTAATTATTCATTTTTAAAAATAAAATTTTCATCTTATTTAGCTTAAATATTTTTGTGTGTGCATTTCTATGATTGTGTTTTTAAAATTAAAAGGAGAGCATATAGGAAATACATTGAGGGAAATTATTGACATAAATTAACGCTCATTCAAAAAAAAAAAAAGAGAACATTCAACAAATGTATAATATGCATTATGTATATAATGAACTAATGAATATAAGTATTTTTTATCGTAAAAAGGTCACTTAGGTTAACCAGATTACATAGTAAAATTACTTATTTTTAAAAAAATTATTTCATGAAGCAGTAAATCAAATTCCAACTAGGGGTCGTTTGGCAAATTCCAACTTAGCTTAAATTCCATAATTTGGATTAGATTCTTAAAGAATCTGCCATAGAACAATCTAGAACTACATAATTATTCCAAACAATCATGATTTGTAAAATGTAATTTTATTTTTTTTTGTTTGGAAAAATGTTAAAACAAGGTATTAAACTAAATATGCTAGCTATCATACTTTATGGTTTGTCATTCTTTTTTGGCACAGGTAGTAGTCTCAATTTCAATTTGTGTCCTATTTTAACCGAGTGTAATGTTTTTTTTTTTTTTTTTAGGATAAATGTCCAAAACACATTTAAACTATCTCATTTTTTTGAGTTTCATACCTAAATTATTGAAAGTGTTAGTTTCATACCTAAACTATCATTTTTTTAGTTTGAGAAACACACCTCAGTGGTGTGTGTAATGCACTATCTCTTTTATTTGAAAAAACCTTGACACATGACATTTCACATGGATAAAATATCTACCTTGACAAAAATTAAATAATAAACTATTAATATTAATTAAAAATTAAAGATTGCAGTGTTACAATCCATAAAAAGAAAAAAAAAATTAAATTATTTTTTTACCCCACTCCACCACCTCCTCCATGTACCCCACCCCCCACGACAATCCCCAATCCTTTTTTAAAAAAAAAAGACTTTTATAAAATATTTTAAAAAAAATTCATATGTCACCCTCCCCCTCCCAAAAAAAACACCATGCACTCATCCCCCCCCCCCCCCCCTCCCCTCCCAAAAAAAAAATTAATATTATTTTATTTTTAAAAAAATAAAAAATCTACCCCATCCTATTTAACCCTCCGCTTCTAATTTTTAATTTTTTTTACATTTTTCTCATTTTGTGTTAGATATGTACGTACATATATTTTTAGAATTTTTTTCTACTAGTGTACGAATATAACATAAATAAATAAAAAATTAAAAAAAGTCTTGCGGCGGCAAGAAAAAATATTTTCGATATGTATATATCTAACACTAAATGAGAAAAAAATTTGGAAGCGGACGGTTAGGTGGGGTGGGTAGAATTATTTTCTTTAAAAAATAAAATAATATTTGAGGGCGGAGAGGGGAGGAGATGAAGTAAAAAAAATTAAATACTTTTATAAAAGAAATTTAAACAAAACAAAAACAAAAAAAAATTGGTCGGGGGGCGGTGAGAGGAAGTGATGGAGTGGAGTAAGAAAAATATTTTACATTTTATTTATAAAAGAAATATTATTTTTTTGAATAATAATTTTTTAATTTTTAATTTTAACTAATACAATAATTTATTTAATTTTTGTCAAGGTTGAATGTTTTGTCCATGTGGAGTGTGATGTGATAATTTTTTAAAATAAAAAAGAGAGTGTATTACACACACCATGATGAGAGCGGTATAAAAGAGAGAGGTGTGTTTCTCAAACTAAAAAGTGATAGTTTAGGTATGAAACTCACACTTTCAATAGTTTATGTATGAAACTCAAAAAATGGCACAATTTAGGTGTGTTTTTTACGACAACAACAAATCAGTGAAATCATACAAGTGAAGTATGAAGAGAGTTATAGTGTACGCAGACGTACCTTATCACTACCTCGTGGAGATAGATATGTTGTCTTTGAAAGATCCTCAACGCAAGTATAACAAATTAAATTCAGGTACAAAGAATAAGAAAACATAACAACTAACAAGAGGAACAATGTAAATCTTACGAGAAAGGAACCCACAACACATAATAGTATGATAATCGAAACACTATAAACAATAGAAGATGGTAGACATCACAAGCAAACCTACAATATACAATCCAGCTAGAACAACGACAAATACCAACAAGCCTAAATCCTCGAAAAGTAAGACAATACTCCACTCTTTAGCTACTAATTTTCTATCCTAACACACGTCCTCCAAACCTTCATATCTTAAATTATGATATTCTCGATAACTTAAAATTGTGCGTCCGATTTAATTACCGCTTCCCAACGCCTAATTATTTTTATTTTAACTAGAACAAAATTCAAAGAGAGGAGGGTGGGGGGGTTTAAGAAGCGCTAATAAAATAATCAAAATGTCAATGGAACAATCTAGAACAATGAAGTGAAACTCCTCCTAAGCACTCAAATAAAATACAGAAAAAAGTTAAGAGGACGGTGCCAACTGATAAAGTTGTGATTAAATTAATTGGTTACCTTGTTATAATATTAGTAACTAATTAAATAATGAGTTATTTGTACGAAAGTATCAAATGGGGTATCGTGGCTTCCTATTAGCCGTCCACTTGTTACTCATATATAATCTTGTCTCTATCATACGGACTCTACACTCCATAGGACCAATCAAAGTCACATTAGCTAGTTTATTTGAATGATTATTAAAATATTTATATTTAATATATATAATTTATCATTATTTCATTTACTAATTTTATTGTTAACCGTCACTTTTATCGTCACTTACAATCACCATTGTTATAAATAATCACAATTAGCTATCATTAGCAATCATCATCAATTACTACTAACTATTAAATACAATCATTATCCATCGATATGTATCGCCAATTGTTGTGATCATTCACTATTATCATTAGCTATCATTAACGTCCACCATAACTAATACTGCCTACCACCAACTATCATGATCAACAATTACTATTAATCACTAATGTCAAACACTATTACCACTAGCTACTATCCATAACAATTACTATCACCCAACATATATAATCCTCAATTGACATCCACAAGTAAAAGCGGATCCAAAATTTAAAAGTGAAAAGGGAACTACTAGGCTGAGACTACAGCATATCAAGCCCAGAACGTCTTACAAGCCCAGCCCAGCCCATTGAGGTCAGTTATAACCCAAAGTGACCTATAGCACAAAGTTTTGAAATTTCACTTATAAAATGTGATATAGTAATGTGACCTTAAATAATGCATGGTTTAAAATGTTAAAAATAGCTAACTAGAATATTTTTGTTTTTTTTTTAATTTTAAAAAATGAACAAATATATGTAATAAATCAAACCAAACAAAAAATAATCTCAATTAATCCATACGATATATAGTAATCTTTACAATATGATTAATCTTTGCATAATTATATATCTAACTAGAGCACTAAAGACAAAATAAAAATGGGATTAGATAAAATCCAACAAGAGGTTACCTAATCTAGCTGACGACAAAGATAAGACCTCTTTTAAAAAGATAATAACACAAACTAATAAAATAAATACTAAAACATTCCACTTATAAATCTTTTAGTTAAGATCTACATCAAAATTTAGGAACGATAGAAAACTATATTTAACTAAATTTTCCTCAACAATTTTATCATCAATAAAGTAATATCATCCGTGCGAATAAACTAATCTATCTATATACATCTAAAGCATGTATCTTAAAATACTAAATATCGAACAATAAAAATATTTCTTACAAAAATAAATTGTTTTTACCAAAAAGATTACTCCACTTTTATCGGGTGAAAATGTAATATTTAATGCTTTATCTATAAGTTATGAAATTAAAGTTAATTAGGATTATTTTTTTTTCAAACTCAGAACTTTACTTATCATACATCTTAGAATTCCATGTCTTGCATTTTATATATATTCTCTTCCTTTCAAAATAATTGTCACGTTTTGCTTCTAGAGAGTCCATTAAATTAAATTTGATTAGATTAAATAAAGTATTTTAAAACCAAACTTTAAATTTAAAAACTGCATATAAAAATACTATAAATTGTAATTCTTCTCATATATAATCAATACAGTGCGAAAATACATCAAAGAATATTCTTCAAAGTACAAATAAAAGGAGTACAAGATATACTATGTATATTTATTTTAAACAAAAATCAAGTATAACAATAAACTCTTATTCAATTTTCATAAAATCTATATGATTTAAATTCCAAGTTGTTAATTAACTAACAAGTAAGATTATCCCCAGTATCAACACCAAGTTGTTGACAATATTGAGTATAATACTCAACCCTTCTAGCAACAGTTTGTGGATTACCACCATCACATTCAATTTGTCCATTAATAGCTCTAATTGTTGGGCCAAATCCTTGTCCAGAAGTAATTAAAGAATGACAATTATTCATCCAATACCATAAAGCTGTTTTGAATGAAATAACACCATCTCTTCCTACTATGTCTGGGTCATTTAATCCATCAAATCCAATAGATTGTCCTGCTGGACCATAATTAAAGTTCCATGATAGTTGAATTGGTCCTCTACCATAGTAGTTTTTGCCTGATACACAAGGGTACTCTGTGTTGGTCTCATCACAATAGTCTCCTGATGGACCATTTATCTCATTTATGTAGCACATGTCTGTTGTGTCAAGTTAAAGAAACAAGGAATTAGTTAATTAGTTGTAGTAGTATATATGTACGTATATGATCACTACTAAAAGAAGTGTCGAAGAAACTAACAAGAAATTAATTAGTTGTAGTACATACGTAAAAAGGTTGGTAAAGTTCTCGTCAGTAAAAAGATCGATGAAAAAAGTCTCATAGTGGTGATCTGCTACTCTGCTTATAAGATTTGGGCAATCTTCTTTCCTTCAGAGTTAACTTTTGAGGATGTGAGTTATGTCCAAGATCTAACCGATTTCTGGAGGTTGATACGGCCTTCATGAGGTTGGTTTTTTAAGTTACGTAATCATAAAATGCACCAATTGTTTTGAACCTCTATCTTTTTTACAAGAGTTAGATGCTTTGGATGGTAATTAAGCACTCCTAACCTCTAAGATTGTGAATTCGAGTTCGCAAAGAAATAAAAAAAAGTGGTATCTCCTAGTCCCTATGAAGGTAAATTTTTGTTTTAAAAAAAATAATCATTTTTTGTGTGTAGGATACATTTCTATAACTTCAATACTATATCTTATTTTTGAAAAAACCTGATCTAATGCAAGAAAACCAAGGTTGATTTGCATTTTTCCAATTTTTGACGCAAAAAAACCGATCCTTTTGATAGTTTTCCAGTGTAATGATATGAAAATTAAATTCATAAGACAACTAATAAAGTATATATTTTAATGAAAAAAATAAGTAATAACAAACTTACGTCCAGTTTCATGTGTAACATGAGCGAAGAAAGCAGCAATCTCACGCTTAGAATCATCACTAGAACCAACAGTTCCAAAATTACTATAAGATTGAAGAGCTTCAAAAAATCTCTCTCTTGTATAAAACCCTTTTCCTTCACAACTAGAAGCAGCTTGATCAGCAATTCCATTAAAGAATGCATTAGTTACAACATCAGAAACTGAAACTCCATTATTATTATTGCTTGGAGTAGTACTAAAACAAGGTCCTCCTTGACACCCTTCACCACAATAATCATTCCCCGTTCCACAATAACCCCATCTACTGCAACACAAATCCGATGAACAACCACAATTTTGTGCCAATATTAGTTTTGATGATGCTATAGCTAATGTGAAAAAGAGAAAGAAATATGTTTTTGATGAAGAGAAGTTCATTTTGTTGAGTTGTGTGGAGGGAAGGATGGGGAGGGGGGTATTTATAGATGTATGGGAAATTGAGAATTATTATGCATGAGCCACTATTGTTGAATTGTTCAAAATTTTAATATTAATGGACCAAACTTTTATTTATTCATATTGGTTGACTTTGACATTTTTGCATTTTTATGATTTGTCAAAAAAATTATTCATGTGCTAGGTGTAGCTAGCTTTTTCTCATTTTTCTTTCTCCTTCTAGAATTGAACATACCATGCAAGTTGCATAAATTTGAGTCAAACATATATATATATTAATAATTGTGTAATTAAATATATCCGATCAAATATTAAGTTTATAATTTTATCATAATTATATTATAGCAGATAAATATTTCTTTTTAATTATTATGTATATGTAATTATATTAGAGCGACCTTTTTTTTTACTTCCAAATAGATTGCAGCAGTTTGAAGCATTTTTTATATTTTATTCAATGATAATAGATTCAGATTATAGGATGATAAGAACCTAAAAAAGACACTGTTTTGACCATGAAAGTTCACAATATTAGTCATATTTTAATTAAAATATGAGTATATAATAATCATTCTGATATTGATAGTTTGAATGTACTTTTCAAATTAAGAGTTGAGAAAAATAATATATAGAGAAAATACTCAATACTTTAATGGGAAAATGACATGATATACCCCTTAATTTTGTCATTTGGAGCAGATATGCTCCTCGTTATGAAAGTGACTCATATATATCCTTACAGTTATACAAACGGCTCACATATACCTTTTTATACAAATGACTCGCATATACAAATGGCTCTCGGAAGTGAGAAAAATAATTTTAATAACGAGGGATATTAGGTATATGTGAGCAATTTGTATAACGGTAAGGATATATATGAGTCAATTTCATAATGAGGAATATATTAGCTCTAAATGAGAAAGTTGAGGGGTATATCAAAACCTTTTCCCTACTTCAATTGATATGTAATAAGATAAACACTGCTTTTGTGTTTTGCCCATTGACTCATTCATCGTTAACTAAAAACATTAATACGTAAATGTAATTTTAATAATATTAGGTACGTACAATCATTTACAAGGTTTAATAGGACAAATGCTAGTGGTGACTGGTAAGAATGTTCATACTATATAATATAATAATCACTAAAATATGAAGGATGCGATATTAAAAAAGGTTCTTAATGAACTTTAATTTAACTTATAAACCTTATTTATTAGGATATTATTAATTCATGGACCGATTGAAATAAAAATAAATACTTTATCAACATGGATTTTGAACTTGTGGTGTATCGGTGGTGGGACTGTTTCATCTTTAACGAGAAATTTCACATTTCAGTCCTGGATGTGAAGAAAATTTCGTTGAAAGCATCACCTCCGAATTTGTCTTATAATAAGTGATCCAAATTTAATTGAAGTACTAATACGAACTCCTAGAACGAAAAAAAATACTTTTTGTGTGGACCGTTGTGGGGTTAGTTAATGAGGTGAACAATTTGGACCGTAACATTGTGGGTATCTCTGGGGAAAAAAATATGTATTCTCTTCAACCTAAACTAAAAAAAAAGAAAGTGAACTCCTCGACCAAATCTATATATAATTTATAAAAAATACACAAAAGTATTTGCGGGATGCCTTTTTTTTTTTGATGGCCTTTATAATTTTCTTACTATTATTTATTTAATAAAAATTTGTGAACTGAAATATCTTTAATTATACATTTATCTTGCCGGATAAAAATTTTGTTTGAATAAAATCATAAATTATGTCTTTTCAAGTATAATTTTGTGGATTTTGAAATTAAACTTATGTCTATATCGACATAAATTTCGTAAAAATCAAATTTTGACTTATAAAGTATAATTTGTGCCTCACAAATTTTGCTTTGTAAGACATACTTTGTGCCTTGTAAATTTATTTTATCTTACGATTTTTACTTTTATCTTTTTTGATGTCAAAAACATTTTTGACCACTGTTTTTCTAAAACACTTTTCAAATGGAGAATAAATTATAAATTTAAGAGACAAAAATTAAAAACTAGCGCAAAAAAACCTTGTTAACCTTGTCAGTTTAGCAAAACACAGGGAACATGAACTTTATTTGGTTGAGTAGTCTCATTGGTTTCTTATAATTTGTTGACAAAGTGATAACATAAGAGAAAAGTGTCAAAAATAACTTAAAATATAATTTTTTTTAGTTTTATATCTAAGCTATTAAGAGTGAGAGTTTTATACCTAAATTATCATTTATTAGTTTGATACATACAATTTCTCTTTTATTATACTCTTTTTATGATGTGTCTACTACACTCTGTCTTTTACTATTAAATAAAAAATTGTGACATCACACTTCACATGGACAAAATATTTCACCTTGACAAAAATTAAATAAATTATTAGTATTAGTTAAAATTTTATTCTAACAACAATAACAACAACAACATACCCAGTAAAATCCCACTAGGTGGGGTCTGGGTCGGAGGGTAGGGTGTACGCAGACCTTACCACTACCTCGTGGAGGTAGAGAGGCTAAAATTTTATTCTAAAAAAAAAAAAATGTAAAAAATGTAATATATTTTTCTTACTTTGTTCAAATTTCTTTTATAAAAGTATTTAACATATTTTACTTCATCTACCCCCACCCCCCTTCAAATAATAGTTTAGATATTATTATTTTTAAAAAAAAATCTTCCCACTCCACCAAACCCACCTCTTTCAAAATTTTTTTCCTCATTTTGTGTTAGATATATACATATCTTTTTAAGAAAGTATTTTTAACTTGCCACAAAACTTTTTTAAAAATAAATTTTTTATTTATGTAATATTCAATACACAAGTAGAAACAAATTTTTCCAAGATATATGTACATATCTAACACAAAACGATAAAAATGTAAAAATAATAATAAATAAATTAGGAGCACAGGGTGAGATGGGTGGGGTAGAAAATAATATCATTTTTTTTTTGGAAATGAGTGAGTGTTTTTTTTGGGCGGGGGAGGGGGGGTGGTTGGTGGAGAGGGGTAAGAAAAATAACTAAAATTTTATTTTTAAATTTTTCTTTTGGAGATAGTAATACTTTAATCTTTAATTTTTTTAATACTAATAGTTTATTATTTAATTTTTGTCAAAGAGGAATATTGTATCTTTGTGGAATGTCATGTGTCAAGGTTTTTCCAAATAAAAGAGAGAGTATATTACACACACCACTGATGTGTGTTTTTTAAATTAATAAGTGATAGTTTAAGTATGAAACTCATACTCACAATAATTTAGGTATGAAATTAAAAAAAAAGAGATAGTTTAAATACATTTTTTTATACTTATTTTTTTTAATGGAATCGTTAAAATCATTCTATATTGAATTTCGTAAGGTAATTTAAGTGAAATAAGAGACTTAGCTTAGGGAAAGAGATTCAGCCAAAGGTCAACACTTGGGAATTGGTAGTAAATAAGATTTTTATAAAACTCTTGTATAGTTGCGATTTACGCGTCGAATCGAGTGGAAGATTAGACACACATATTTGTTTCTTGATTAGCCCACTTGGCATGGAGAGTACCTTAGATTTTGTAGACAACATCTCAAATGTATACAACACATATCCCCATTTGATTGAGAGGACGATAAGGTAGTGAGTTATGTATTGCAATTTACCAATCAAGTGAAACTTTAGATAATCAGTGTCTAACCAATTGAGCCATACTAAAGTATTTTAGCCCTTCAACCACCCTCAAAAAAGTGTGACCTAATCTATCAAAAGGTGTAGCCTTTGATCAAAGGCCATACTTTTAGACTTTAGGCAACACTTTAAGGGGATGGCCAAAAGATGCGTAATCTCTGTGATTTTAGGCCATAATTTTCAAACGTCACCTTATATGCACATTTGTCAAATATTTCACAACATGAAAAAGGAAACATTGTTCAACTCTTTGACAACATTAAAAAATCAAAAGTTCTGCCCTTCCTCCCTATCTATCCAAGGGATGGAAGGACAAATGCTTTTGACATCCCCTTTAGTCAAGAATTGGAGCCTCACAATCACTAATCAATATGCTTTTCTCTCATGTTTTTCTTCATTCATCATTCAATATTTTGGTGTCTTAGGTGTAGAGGAAGCACACCAATCCATTCCGAACATAGTGGTTAAACTCTATTATAGGGGAGATCTCGCAAAGAAATAGCTTGACAACATGATGATAAAAAACTTAACACCTCTCATTTTTATTAATGTTTTAATATGAAAAAAAAACCGAAAAGAACAAAAGACTATTTTTTTTCAAAACCCCAATCGTGACATCCATTTTCTCCTACTTCACACCTCGATACACACACTTTCTTATAGACTTGTAAAGATAAACACACTTTCACATCTCCTTAGCCCAACTTAGAACAAAAAAAAATTCTTTGCTCAAGGGTAATCAAAGGAGCAATTACAGTAGGAATAGGGTGGGGCTTATAGCTCATACGATTAAAGTACATGACTATGAATCACAATGTCAAAATTCTAGTTTTTCCACATTCACAGCCAGCCCCAAACGGAAGTACTTAATACCTTTTTCAAAAGATTAAAACTTCAAAAATTTGTACAAGAATATATGTTATTAATTTGATGCATTTTGCATATAAACCAAAAAACACATTAATTTGTTATCATTTTTATCAAGATTCTAACCAATAGATCTCTAAAATTACATGATCTATGATAGTCATTGATCATCACGTGCTAGACACGTGCTCTTTCCCCTTGCCTTTCGGCAACCGCAACAGAGCATTCATCAACTATCAGAAGAAGCAAAATTCAGGAGTAAACAAACAAATATGTTGAATCCTCTCCGATTAACTTAAACTTTAATCAGATTCAAACCATGAATCTCTTCTTCTTCTTCTTCTCTCTTCTTTTTTCTTCTCTTTTCAATCTCTCTGTTGCCAGAGGCGGCTTTCCCAGCTCCATTAACGCTTCAGGTCTCATGATCTATGTATAGAAAA